AGTGCTACCCAGGAGAGTTGTCCATGTATGTAGCTGGCGCTGAGAGTCCAAAGAACATGAAGACCAAGGTGGGTCCCTCGAGAAGCCTGGAGAGAACGATTCCCGTGGAGTGTTGAGAAGTCAGGAGGCCCCCTGCTGCAGAGATCATTCTTGAAAGAAATGTGGTTGTGAATTGGGCAGGAAAACATGGCTATGGCTATGGCATGGGTTAAGGCTTTTGAAGGCAGACTCTTGGACATGAATCAGAAGAGACTGTGAAGGCAGTCAAGAGGAAGAGCAGGACAAGCCCACCAGGAAGGCAGGTAGGATCTGGGGTCCTAATGCGCCAGGAGAGAAAGGTCATTGGTAGTGACAGGATGCAGGTAGGGACGATGATGCCATGTGCGTATGGTGGGAGTTGAGGGTGAGGCCCCTCGAGATCCACCTGCAACCTTCACCTGCTCAGGACTGGGAGGTGAACTCAGTGGGGGATGGGCTTATCTGGACTGGCTGTCTAGCTTTCACCCCTGGGAGCCACCAGAGGGAAATTAGAAGATTGGAGGAGTGAGTTGGGGATCTATCCCAGAGAGGGCTTCTCTCTACTGTAGGTCACATCTTCTGTCTGGGGCCTTCTCCAGCCGAGCTGTCCTCTCCAGGTTCTGGCCACTGCTCCCGCCTCTTTAGGCCTAAGGGCCATACAGGATCCCCACTGTTTCCTGTCTCAGAGTAATGCAATATCCCTTGTACACGTCCCAGATTTGTTCATCGTTCCTGTATTAAACTCTCCCCAATTGCCCTGTACAAAGGCAAACTCTGACTGTCTCGGAGGTGTTCCCTCTAGCCTCTTCAATCTGAAGACGGAAGTAAGGTTCTCTGCTGAGAGCAGGAGGGAAGGGAGGTCTGAGAGAAGGGCGACAGTCGAGACCTCCCCTGTGGAGAGTGGGGGTGGCCCTATCAACAGGAGTGAGGCCTCAGCTGAGACTGGGACCCCGGAGGCTGGAGTCAGGTGCAAAGGTGAACAGAAACAGGTCCAGGCAGGCTTTTGATTTTGCTAAGCAGGTACAGCCAAGGAAGAGTGGGACAAGAGCCTGTCGGAGAGAGAACAGGGGGAGCCATGGCCAGGAGCTCCTGATGAAGAGGAGAGCCGGTGACTAGTGGTGGGACAGGAAAGGATGTCTGAATGTGGGATTTGAGAGAAGGCCCAGTCCCAGCTCTCACAAGCCCTGAGAGTGAGCAGTGACGAGGGGAGGAGGCACTGAGAGGCTGGGGTGCAGGGAGGGTCGTCTTTCATCCCCAAGTCCTGGAGGGGAGCAGGAAGAGCATAAGCTGCTAGCCACAGTCTTGGACGCATGAGGGGGTGTGACCAGGACATGAAGCCACACACTGCACACGTGCGCAACACACACGCATGCACAGCCACACGCCCACACACACCCACACAGTCACACTCTCGCGCACGCCCACAGCCCTCCCAGACACTCCAAACACCCTCACATGCACTCACCCTCACACGAACCCCAGACAGCAGATGGGGCGCTCGGGTAATTGGTTAAACCTGTTCCGATGTCTGGCTCCGCCTTGGCAGCGCCGTCTGACAGGAAAGCTGGCTGGGCCTGCACCGCTCAGCCTGCTGGCCTCCCTGCCCCTCCCCCTGCGAGGCTGCCCTGCAGCAGGGGTCCAGGAGAGGCCCGTGGGGCTCCCTCCTGAACAGAGATGGCCAGGGCTGCTGGATGCCCTGTGGGAAGCGATCACAGCACCTGTGAGAAGAAAGTGGCCGCAAAGATGCGGAGATGCTAAGAACATGCGCCTTGCTACCCTGGAGGCCCTGGGGACCCATCCCAGAAAGTTCTGAGAACAAGAGGATGTGTGCGGATGGTTCCTTGAAGGCGAGGCCCATGGACTCAACCACAGAGTTAAGGACAATTCCCTGTGCTTCAACCTCGTGCAACTCAGAGCTATCACAGGTGCTCACAGCGGTCAGCGGTCATTCTGCAGGGCCACAGGGGGCCGGTCCAGCCCAGCCCAGCTGAGGGGAAAAGGCCAACCAGGCTCACTCAGGGAAGGCCTGTCCCAGCAGCTCCCAAAGGCTGAGGAAGCCAGCAGGCCAGTGTCCTCGGGCCTCACCCTCTGCAGGGCCTGCTCTTCAGGTGGGAGGGGCCCTCAGGGGAGAGAAGGGAGCAGCAGTCCTTGTCTTCTCCCCTTCTCGGCTGCATCTGCGTCTCTTTGAGAGAGACTTTGGTTTGTTCCCTGGAGAGGGCCCAAAAACTCCCAAATTAGCAAACCTGGCAAAGCCCGCAGCTCAGAAAATAGTTCATCCTGATTCCATGTTTTTCAGGCTCACAGAAGCCTTTATTAATGAAGTCACAACACCAATATTTACCGTCTGCGGGAGAGGCACAACATGGGGGATGGTGGGACTGCAGTGGGGACTCCCCAACCCGCCCCGCAGGCCTGGCTAGGAAGATTGGCAGGTTTCCTGGGTTCTTTCCAGCCCCTTATCTGCTTGACAGGGGGTGCTCTGCTGTAATCTTCCTGGACCCTTCCTCCCAACAAGTGAGACAGGATCTCGAGAGAACCACTCATCCATTCCTCTGCCCCCCACTGGGACCAAAAGGGTGCTTCTAGCCCTCACCCCACCTGGGCATGCATGCCCCCTCCCCGCCATGCCTACCTGCCCGTCGGTGAGAGAGCCACTGTGTGGTTTAACCTGGATTTTCCAGATGTGGAGGATGCCTTCCTGGCTGATGGAGGGGGTGGCAGAGGCACAGGGATGGGACGAAGCCCTTTGGTTTCTAGCACTGACTGAATACAAGTGAGGTGGGCAAAGAGGGGAAAGGGATGCACCAGGGCCCAGCAGGACCTGGGGTCTGTGCTCTCTGCAGAAGGACCTTGAGTACTTGGATCTCTGCACACGGCCCAGGCAACAAGACTGGGCCCTTGACATCTTCCCAGTGAGTTCAACACTGATTAAGCACCCACAGGATGCTCACCAAGAGCATAGTAAAGGCACAGCACAGTGGAAAGCCACAGCTCACTCAGGGGCAGGCACAGGTGGAACCAAAGCAGAGGACCACACCAGGAGAAAGTAGGAGAAGCCGAGGGTGGGAAGGGAGCCGGGGACAGAATTAAGAGGAGACACCATCCTGTTTGGGCAGGAGGAAGAGGATCCTGGCTGTAGTGTGGAGGGCCTCCTTCAAAGTGAACTTCGTCCTTGACATTCACAGAAGCCACAGGATTGTCCACACTTCCCACACAAGAGCAGGTGGGGCCTCGCCAGTGGGAGAGATGGCTGAGGACCCCTGCACTGAGGAGATACGGCTAGGAAGTCAGTGTAGACTCAACCGTAGAGGGGCTGGGGAGAAGGGGAAGGAGCTTGAGGAAGATTCCCGGGACTCATTTACCTTGGGGAACAGTGTACATGGCTAATGCGGCCTGCTGAGGTGGGCAACCCCGGAGGAGAACAGGTGGGGACATGAGTCCATCTGTGAACATGCTGGGTCTATGGTGCTCAGGGGCCTGGGTGCAGCAGGCAGCTAGCTCAGTGAGCCCACATGGAGCCCGCCAAAGAGAAGTACTGGAAGTGGGTGTGAACCCCTGCACAGAGGGTGGGATGAGGAGGCAGGAGGAACAAAGATGGACCTCGGGTGGACTGAATCCATGAGGCCTGGGTGAAACTGGGGAGAACTCAAGAGATACCAGATGCGGCATCAGAGAGACCAGAATGAAGGCAGAGGGGTGAAGGAGTCAACCAGGGCGCGGCCAGCAGATCTGGAACAGGTGAATTCAGACGGGAGCAGGTGAATTTGGCCACAAAGGAGAGACCAGTGACTGTGGTTGGCAACTGTCCTTTACATCAGTAGAGAGCTGGTGCAGAGGCCAAGGAACAGAGGGCTGGGGACACATGGGGGAATGAAATGGGGACAGAACTAGATGTTAGGAGGGGAAGATTGTTAGGAACACAGTTTTCTTTTTCCAGGATGAAGGAAATTTTAATGTACAAGTAGAAAGGACAAATGGACAAACTGAAAGACAGGTGGACAAAAGAGCTCAGCAAGACCTGTCTTGTGTGTTTGGGGCTGGGGAAGGCCCTGAGCCCTGGGCACTGGTGTGGGCTCAGCCTTGAGCTCTGCTTCTGAAGCCATAACCTGCCCAGGGGTTCTTTAAAGACACAGGAGCATCCGTATGGGGCCAGGACTGAGGGCTGGGTCAGCACTGTGTGACTCCTTCCTTCTCGTTTCTCCTCAACTGCAGAAGTCACCAGCATCTCTAACTATGGGAAACCTCTCTCCCTCCCCATGGAGCTACCTGGGCCTGATTCCCACGCTTCAGTGAGTTTGGAAAAACCTGGACCTAGCTTTCCTCAAAACACAAGGTAGCCCTGCCCTATGTCTGCACTCAGTTGCTCCTGCCGTGGAGCCCAGGTTAAGAGACCAGGGTCAACCATTTCCAAAGGAGAGCACTGAATGGACTGCCCTTGCCCCGTCCAATCACTTGCTGCAGAATCCCAGGCCCTGGGCTAACTCGCCCTGCCAGCCCCCACTGATCCCCAGAGCTGAAACCACCACCCCAGGCTCTTGGGTTGGAGCTGGATGCCTGTGTCATTAGAGAGAGACTTTTTTATTATTCCCATAGGGAAGGGAGACACAAGGGGATCACTAAGAACTATAGCAGGTGCCTGGAAAATAAATTAAAACAGAAATACATCAAAACAAAAAGGAGATAAGAGAAATGGAGAGCAGCGGGGGCTGCGGTGACAGGCGGCCCACCAGGCAGGCAGGCTCTCCCAGGAGAAGGCTGAGCAGTCCCAGGCTTCAACCAGCCCATTTCTTGTCCCTCTGTCTGTGATGGCCCCAGACTCCAAGCCTTGTGGGGCCGTGACTCGAGGCCTCCCTGCAGCCTGGCCAGGGAGTGGCCAGAGTCCAGCTTGGGCCCCCCAGGGGCCTGGCCGGCAGCAAGCAGCACTCTGCCCTCATGGGTTCGTGGGTGCTCCCTTAGTCATTAGAGGTGACATCGATGTCCTCCCCGTTGGCCTGCTTCGTGGCAATGCGCCACCGGTTGATGTGGTGGGAACCCTTCTTCTTCTGCTCGGACTCAGGCCCTTCCTCCTCCAGCTTCTGTCGTTTGTATTTTGTCCTCCGGTTCTGGAACCACACCTTCACCTGGGCCAGGAGGGAGAGGCACAGATGAGAACACCCAGCAGCCCCAGAGCAGCCGGGGCCTGAGCGCTCACGTGAGCTGGGAGGCAGCTGGAGAAACGCAGGGTCAGGGCTCACAGACCAGGGTCCTCTCCTCGGGACAGCTGCCACCTGATGGGTCTGGAGAACTGCTCTTCCAGGGCAAGTGAGATGGGGCCGGAAGAGGACTCTGGGCTGGTGAGGGGGACATATTCTGGTCCCTCTCACAGGCAAGGGATGGGGTGTGGAGCCACTGAGCATCCTGGTCCCTGCAACCACAGCAGAGGCAAAGCCCTGCAGCAGACCTGGTGCTACCGACTGCGAGAGAAGAGAACGATCGATCGCTGCTTTCTGGGGTGGAGTGAGTCACCATGTGGGTCCCAGCAGGTTCAAGCTGACTCCCTCCCGTGGCTGGCCCTGAGCTCTCCACTGCACAAAGAGGCTTCCTAACCTAGATATGGTTTCCACACCAACAGCAGGGCACAGGATGGCCAGGCCACTCCTAGGGTCATGGAGCCACCCCTAGAGGCTCTACCCCACCTCCTGTGCATCTCCTTTATCAGGGGACCCTTGATTGCAGCCTCTGGTGGAATCGCCAGCCCCCACCCACACACACATTAGAAGTGGAGCTGGGCAGGCTGGAGCTAGGCAGTGGGGAGCCCTGGCCTCTCAGTGCCAGGTCCTTGGGGTAGTCTGAAATCTACCACTGAGCCCTTGTCCTCCTTAGACAGACAGGGTGGGAGGAGGCATGTGTGAGGCCCCACATCAGGGCAACGCTCTGCCCTTCAGGATCAGCTCTGGACCTCCCGCTCCCACAGCACTGGCCCTGTCCTGCTGTGGGAACAGGTAGCACAAGAAACAGGAGAAATCCTGGGGACTATAGTAGACTCCTATTTGAACACAGAGAGCTCCCCACTGCATCAGGCAGTGAGAACCCCGACAAGAGGAGAGATGGGGCTCAAACCAAAGCTGGACAAAGGATCTCCATTGCAGAGGGGCAGGCAAGTCACGCTTCCAAACCACCCAGGAACCCTTCCTGGTTTTATCCTAGCTCTAATCGCCCTCGTCCTCCTCCCTCAGTGTTTACTCAGGGTCCAGGATGCAGCCCTTCACATCCTCCCATATGCAACCCGAGAGGTGGTACCTGGGAGCATCCTGGCCTGTGCCCTGTAGAGAAAGCCTTTGTCCACCAACTCCACCTGACTGTGAGCTTCTTTCTTTGGCCCTGCAGAGCTGGGCCAAACCCGAACCCTCCTCCTAGTTGGCAGGAGGAGCCTGGGTACCTACCTTGGCTAAGCCCCTTTCTCTCTCTGGGCTTAAGTCCCTCGTCCACAGGAAGAATGTTTTTTTGGAACCAATGCAACTCCAGGGCACCTCCTGGACTCTTGAGCCCAGGACCCAGAGGTCCCTGGGGGAGGGGATGCAGAGAGGGCAGGCTCACAAGGCATGGAGCGTTTCCTGGAAATGTCAGCACATCTAAAAGCAAGTTGGACCAGGCACAGTGGTGTGTGCCTGTAATCCCAGCAATTTGGGAGGCTGGGGCAGGAGGATAGCAAGTTTGAGGCATGCCTCAGCAATTTAGCAAGACCCTGTCTCATAATAAAAAGTAAAAAGGTCTGGGGATGTAGCTCAGTGGTGAAGCACCCCTGGGTTCAAGCCCCAGTGTCCCCCCAAAATAAATCAATAAAAGCACCCGGTGCTGGCAACTGTAGCTGTGCAGGTGGCATGGGTAAGTCATGTGCATGGAGTGCAGTGAGCACCTCAGTTTGGACAGCAGCAGTGACTGCTGAGGGAAGCATCCTGAGGATGGTTTCATGCCCAGGACATGCCACCCTCGCACACCCTCCCCAAATGCTCCTCTCTGTCCCCTCCATGGAACTCCCTGCTACAGGGTCCACCGCACGACCTCCTCTTTCCAGGTTCCCCTGGACCCTCTGCCCTGCCCCCTTGGTCTTACAGCATGAGGGTGGAGGTGGGGCAACAGGGCCCAATCACTGTCCCGGAAGACGAGGTGCACGGCTGCAATGGATGGAGCAAGGGTGAGGGGCTTCTTTCTCCATTTCCAGGGCAGGTTCAAATCAGTAGCCTGCACACTTCACTTCAGGTAGACTGGAGGATGGCAGTTGCTGTGGACACAGGGTTTCTGGATTCCATGCCCACCTCTCCTTGGGCACAGGGCCACCCAAGCCCTGGTCGGTTCTCAGCACAACCATTTGGCAGCCAGCCCAGTCCCTGCCCTCCACCCCAGAGCCTGCTGTGACTGTGCCAGCCAGTGGGTGGGTGAGCTCACCCTGCCTCCTGTGTGTGACTCAGGGCTGGATACAAGGCTGGGGTGTCATTTCTGAGAAGCCCAAGTGGGCTAGCCGAGGGTGATTACCAGGTGATGGTGGACAACACCAGAGACAGAGGCCCCTTCTGCACCTTTCTCCCCACACCTCCTAAATCTCCTTCTGGAAAGGAGTCTGACCATCACCCTGACTTCCAGTGGCTTAGACCCGGCCATGCTACCTTTCCAGCAACCCTGGCCAAAGAGGGACGTGCTGATGGTAGAACTAACTGCAGGCACAGGAGGACACGTTTTCAGGCCAGGGGCCGTGTCCTGGCACACCAAGTGGAGGTGTTTTTTCTCCATGAAAATCCTGGGGTCAAGGAGGCAGGTCTTGAGAAACAAGGACACAACCCTCTCCCTAAGCAGCCCAGCTATCTTCCGGAGAACAGCCTTGGACTGAGTGTCCAGATGCTGTTTACAAAGACTGTAATAACAGGGGGACGCTGATGACTTCATAATGCTAGTGACAAAGCCGGGATGCACAGCACTGGCACAGTGTGGTCACAACCATGGAAAACAAAATCTACACATGGGGAGAAAGACTAGAAGGGAATGTACCCGAACCATGGCTGACTCTTCTCTCTTCCTTTTACTTCTGAATTTTCTAGAATGCATTACTGATGTAACAATAATTATTTTTTACTTGGAGGGAAAGAAAAAAAGAAGGGAATGGGCACTGAGTACAATAGGAGATGAGAGTGTACTTCACACTCTTCCTAATCCAACCAGGTGACTCTGAGGACACCTCTAGAGGACAGAGGACCTAGAAGGAAAGCAGGTCACATGGTGTGGCTATCAGCTTCAAGGCAGCAGGCCCTAGGAGGCTGCACCTATTTTGCATGTGCCTTCCCACCCCAACACTAACACATTCATTCTCTTAGCTCCAAAGACAGTCAGAATGATTGCTGGGTGTGATGGCGCACACCTGTAATCCCAGTGGCTGAGGCAAGAGGATGGCAAGTTCAAAGCCAGCCTCAGCAACTTAGCAAGGCCCTGTCTCAAAATGAAAATACAAAAAAAGGCCGGAGATGTGGCTCAGCGATTGAGCGTCCCTGGTTCAATCCCTTGTACTGAGGGAAAAAAAAAAAAAAAGAATGACGATTCTCTTGCTCAGTGTGATGTTTCTGGGTTGGGGGGGGGGGGCGGGGTCTGTGGTCTCCCAAATCTCTCCCTTCATTGAGTGGCTCTCTGTTTCTTAGTGAAGCCAGATCCTTCTAAGACTTTCTCCACTTTTGCCTGAGTTACCAGACCTGGCGTACTCTCACTTGACCTTCAGGATGCTACTCAGATGGTCCTACACAGGACCTGCTCCCTCTTGGTGCTTTTCCACTGTCTCAGTAACAGAGACCTCCAGCTGCCTACTCCTCTACTCATTCACATCTCCATCTTCTCAGCAGTCTACGGGAATCTGGAGAACCAAGCAGTCTATTAGCTGGCCCCACCCGAAAACCTGTTCTATGTGTGGCTGTCCAGCTGGACTGAGGTGAGGTGCCACCTCGCCCAGGGCTCACTCAGGCAAGAGGTTCCAGGGCCATACCTAGAAAATAGAACATCAATAGAAAAAAGATTCAAGTCTAATCAGAAAAGGCGTTTGGGAAGTGCTGCGTGCAGGAGAGATGGGAGGTTTATGGACACTTTATAAGAGGTTTGGTTCCTAATTTTCCATGTGGAAAACTGGACTTACTGTTTCCAGGGGGAGTTGGGGGGAGGGAGACCCATATTTTTTTCAGAGGGACAAGGCTCAGGCCTGAGTCAGACAGGATCAAGGAGCTGAAATTCCTGTGGATAAATGAACATATCAGTTCAATAGGGGATGGTCAATGTACGCATTAGAAATGAAGCATGTGTATTAACACGTGAAAGATTAGACAAATGAACAGAAAACAAGCAAATTATAGCCCCAGCCAATGTTTCAGAGCTTCATTTTTTGCATAATGTCCTGTTTTGAACGGGGGAGGTCTAGACCCCTCCTTTTCCTCTGCTCCTCCAACCTTATCCTGTGGCGAATACGAAGGTCTGTGGTACCAGGTCCCCACCTACTTTCAGGGGAATACCTGTCCTTTCAAGGAGTTCAAATATCCTAATCCAGATCTTGTAATTCTGACTTAGGAAGTTCCTCCTTATGTTCTCCTGTTGTCTCTTCTGCTTTAATTTAAGCATGTCTTCTTATTCTGTCACTCTCAGACACACAGAAAGTCCTCAGAATAGATAGCAGCTTAAAACCATCAATCAAGTCACCCCTCAGCCTGCTCTTCTCTCTGCTGTGTCCCGTGGGATCCACTTCCTCTCATTTGATCATATCAGTGTTTCCTCTCCTAGAGTCAAGCCAATGCCATGTGAAGCTCAATCCCCACCCCAGCCACCTCAGGTCACCTCCAACTCCCCACCAACCTCAGCCCTAACTCCTCCTAAGCTTTCTTATCTCTTCCTCTCAGCCTACCCTGGACCCTCACCCTCACTCTCAGAGAAGCATCGCAAAATTCACCTGCCTCCTCAGGACCATGTCTCCTGTCCCAGCTCCTCACAGAATCACACCAATCTCCCTTTCCCCATCTCACCCCACCACCCAGGACTCCCGGAACATCAGAGATGCAAAGATTCTTGGAGAAGAGCCAAGGCTTAGAGAAGGGATGCGTCATCCCAAAACCCAGAGGGTGAGCAACAAAGGTCTCTTGACTTTTCCTAAAATTCACATCACTTGGGTGTCTCCCCTCATCCATCCTCCAAAAGGCAGAGCATTCCAGAGCAGAAAGAGACCCCCAGAGCCACCTTGCCATATCTTTCCCTACAGAGGGAAAGAACCGTCTCTAGAGTCAGGGATAGATGACCACGTACTCCTGCCCCTCAAGACCTCTCTCCTTGCTCTCTGGCTCCAAGATGACATCTGGACCTGACAGCTCCTTCTCCTTCTTAACCTGCCCACCTAAGCCCCCCTCCCCATCCTTCCCTCCAACATAGAATCCTATGCCTCTCTCCAGGCCTTCCAGATTGGAGGCTCCCTGGGAGCCTTCTGCCCATTCAGGTCTTTCTTGATCACCCCCTCAGCCCGCAGCTGTGGCCTCAAGGGGACTTCAGTCACTCATCCTGTGCACATTCTGTAAGTGTCCACACTTTCCATTTAGCCTCCACCACTAAATGAGGACTCTCTAAAACCAAGATTACATTTCCGCACCCTTCTCCCTCACAGCTCAGCTAAAGGCAAAGTCAGACAAGGTCAAGAGACACCTACTGATCTGTTCAGAGCAGAAGGAGCAGCAGCAACCTGCTCATTCATTTCCCCTAAAATTAATGTACCCTGCAACACACACACACACACACACACACACACACACAGCAGCATGCAAGCAGCATGATATCATGTGACTGCCTACTGGCATGTGATGAGTACCTATACCACCTGACCTTTGGGCGTCGATCACATTGTGGGCACACATCTGTTACTCATATACACCACACACACTTATCACACTCAGGCTCCGATGTGACACAGGCCTGAGCCTGCCCAACCAGCCACTGGGACTGAAGCTTAGATGCGTGCCTTCCTGGACACGCTCCAGCCCTGCACCATAGCAGTAAGGAGCAGCTAATTAGAGACAGAAGGGAGAACTGGCTCTTGCCCAGGGCCCTTTCTTCTACCTCTTGGGTTGACCCAGTGACCATCCCAGCACAAATCCCCCGACCTCCGACTAAAGGGTGTGCCTACACCAACAAAATAGCACAGACTGCTCACCTCTTGGTTCCTCATGCTAAAGTTCTGTGAGTGCAAAACTCCACACACACCGAACTGCTTAACCCTCCCAGAACTTTTATCTATGAACTGGTGTTTGCATCATCTAAATCAAAAATCATCTATAAAAATGCAAGGGAGAGATAGGATAGGGACAGGGAGGGAGCCGTGACAGCAGACAGCAAGGGGAATGACTAAGAAAGTTAGTGTTCATATCTGTGTGGAATGAAAAAAAAAATCTTTAAAACTTCCCATTCATTTAATGCATGTTTACTGAGCAGCTACTTCATGCAGGGCACTAAACTGGGCTCCCCTGAGAAATAAGACAGGATTGACTTCTACTTCCCACAGCTGAGATGCCCAGGTCTATTGTTCACCAAAATCATCCAGAGAGCTGCTTAATTTTTTCCCCCAATTCTGGACTTCCTTAGAGACTATGCTGGGGGAGGCCCAGGAGTATGTATTTTAAGATTTGCCAGAGAGATGGATTAAACTTATTTACAGATTGATATTTGCACATGAGAGATAATTAAACAAGTAATAACAGCAAGATTTGATACATATTAGGATGGGATATACATATAAAGGATATACTGTGGTCTCTGAGAACATAGAGGGGGGATTATACAGAAACACAGAGAAGTAGAATATAGATAATCCACAGAAACTCCAGGCTGGAGAGAACCCTGGAATTCATTTCATTCCATCTCACAGATACAGGAGCTGAGAGTCAAAGAGAAGACAAAGCCAGAGTCAACGAGATGACAGAGAGCCATTAGTAGACATCTGAACATACCCGCAGTTGCTAATAGCTCTGTAGAGGTGAAGTTTGAGATGGATGGTGGACACACAGAAAATATAACAAACTAGATGATAAAGAGATAACTAAGGATTGGCTAAATAGCAGTTATTGTTAGGAAGAAGAACATGTAATTAATAGAAAACAGGAAATATAAATTAACCAATTTGGCAGGGGTTTTAATGAAAGCAGACAAGTATAGATGGCTGGATATAAAACAGCTACCTAGAAGGGACAGACTAGAGAATTGTGAGTAACAGTTGTAGATATGGACAGAGATGCACAGCACAGGGCTGATGCTTGACAAATATCTGATGGCTGAAAAGGACACGTAAGCCTGTCTCGTACACACAGAGAGGTGGACAGACAATTATACAGCTTAGGTCCAAGTGATGAGTTAGGAGACAACTCTGATGTTAGAGACTGGATGTGGCAGAAGAACACTGGCCTAGAAGACATCTAAGTTTGTATCTTATGTCACTAACTTGACACATTCCTTTAAATGAAGAAAAGGAAAGGGATTGGGAATAGGAATTATTATTATCTGAGTTCATATTAGGCATATTTAATCATTGAACAATCTATTTTCTGGGTGAGGAAACAAGAACTCAGAGAGAGTGAGTAATTTTTCTAGGGTCACACAGTTAATATGGAGGTGGGTATTTGAAATTGCACCTGCCTGACTGTAGGGCTCTGCACAGTCCATCTCTCTATCTCAGGATCCTCACCTAGAAAGATAGGCAAACACAAGGAGATTCCTCAGGCTCAGACCTCCTATAATTCTATCACATGCAAAAAACAGCTCATTTACAGAGGGAATATGATTAGTCATGAGTTCTTATCATTAATGAAGCCGTAACTATTTCACTATTATATCTGGTTTTGTTCTAAATGTTTGAAATATCTCATAATTAAAGTAAAAGAAACAATCAGTCCATGTACTAACTGGCATTGTTAGGAACAAATATTGACAGGCCGCTAGATTTCATTTAAAAGAAAGTTAATTAAAAATGCTCTCATTGAGCTAAAAAATTGAAAGTTTAAAAACAATGACATTATTTCAACAAGTGCTAATCTGTGGGTGGTGGGATTATAAACTGTTTTGTTTTCTTACATGTCTGCAATTAAAATGCAATAAATATTACTTTTTAAATAAAGTTAATTATAAACACCATTCTTAAGTTGACACCTTGTTTTAAACAATAATTTTAAAACATTGTTTGCCAGGAGAGAAAAGAGGTGTTATTTTATCAACTTATTATTTTCTTTAAAACATTTTTAAAATTCACTTCATTGCTTCCAAAGCTTTTTTCCTACAGTTAGAACAGACACTTCAGCTCTACCAAGTCTGAATACGAACGGGTCCTGCCATGGAGAGGATGAATTAGTGGGGCATCAGACAGGGCTGCAATCGATGACCAAATAGGAGAACCAGAGGGTCAGGTCAGCAGCAGAGAGCTGAGGGTGCAGTTAGGGTTTCTGGCTCCCCCTCTAAACCCCCTTCCTAACCCATCTGCTAATGGGAGACCCCAAAACCAAGGTGGGGCTTCTCCCTGTCCTGAGCTAGGGGTGGGAGGTGTGGGAGAGGGAAGTGGGGAGGAAGGGGTGGCAGAAGGTGAAATGCCAGTTTGCTGAGAGTTGCTGGGCAGTGGGAGCCCACCTCTCATCTACAAATCTCAGAGATGACAGGGACTGAAAGCGTTCCAGGCACCAAAATCTGCCTCCAGGGCAGCAGCTGGGCAGAAGAAGGTAGGCCCTGGGTGGACAGGAGTTTCCATGTCGCTTTCAGGTAGTATTGGTGGCAAAGTATCTACAATGAACCCAAATCAGCTTTCCAGTAACTCCCATCTACTTCATTAATTTTGTTTCTTAAATTAATTATCCATTGCAAAAAAATACTTCATGGTAATTGTAACATCACTCAGTTCAAAGCCCTCTGACCCCACTGGAGTTTATTTCCTTCTGCACTTGACAGCACTCACTGTGGCAACAGCTCCTGTGTACCCAGTCCACTCTCCCACCCTCCCTAGCCTCTCGGAGGTTCTGCATACACCCTTCACTGTTCCCTAAGCCCCAGCTGTCAGCCTGCGTGGGGATCACTGCCACTCTTGGACCTCAAGCTGGAGCTGGTGGCTTCCTAGCTCAATCCCTCTGCTTCTGACGCTAGTAGCCTGAGGACACCTGGATTTTCCTCCCCGCTCCACACACGCTGGTGGGCGGCCAAAGCTTCGCCAGGTTTGCTCAGGAACAGCAGCTCAGTCAGTCGTTGGGAAGGCCAGGTCATCCCGCGGAACTGTGAGCGCCCCGCAGCAGCGGCGGGAGAGTGGCTGCAACAATCCCAGGGCTGAGACCGCTCCGCTCGCTCGGGTAGACTAGGTGCTGCCCGCGCGCGCTGCCGCTCCCGAGGCTGTGTGTTGCCTTGGGCTAACCTGGGCCCTCCAGAGGGGCATTAGGAGCCAACTCAACACGGTTTGTGTCTACTCTGCCTCCTGCTGGGTCGTTGTGCTAGACAAAAGTCCTGCGGTCTCAGCAGGATAAGCACAGCCCAGAGAGAAAGGGCTCTAAGGACGGGCTTTGCCGGAGCACCGCGGGGGTGGCTTTTGGAACCCGGGGGCAGAGAATTCCGGGCCGGGCTGGGGCGGAGGCTCGCGGCCGCTGCTGCCCCGCCCGCCCCACCTCCCGGGCTCCCGGGCGCCGCGCTGGACGCAGGGCAGGCTGCGGCCGGGGGTGATTATTACCTGCGTCTCGGAGAGGCTGAGGCTGCCGGCCAGCTGCTTCCGCTCGGCGCCCACCACGTAGTGGTTCTTCTCGAAGGCGCGCTCCAGCCGCAGCAGCTGCGAGGGCGAGAAGGCCGTGCGGATCCGCTTGGGCTTGCGCGCGAAGGGGCCGTGCAGAAGCAGCCCATCCTGGGGCACGTCGCTCGCTGTGGCCCCGGCAGCCGACGGCAGCACACGCAGGTACAGACAGAGAGAAGGGGCGCGGTAAGCTGCAGCCCGGCCGCCAGGCCGCCCGGGGGAGCGGGCCACGCTCGGCCTCCAGCCCCTCTCCCGAGCGTCCTTGAGCGCTCCTCAGTCTCCAATCCTTGATACCCCCATCCACTTCTCCCCTTTCCCTTTTGCCGTTTGACTCCACCCTGCTTCCCAACACCTCCCCACACTTGCAGAGTTACCCCGCCAGGGATGCGCGCAATCCCAGCCCAGTGGATCACTCTTTGGGGCCCAGAGTCCACGCCAGGCCTGATGAGGCGCCGACCCGCCCAAATCCACACTTCGTGGAGCAGCCGAAGAGGCCAAGGGATGGCAAAAGTCCTTTGGCCCTCCTTTTCCCTTTCACAGCCTTGCTACCTCTCCCCCCACCCCACCCCCTCACCCCACCCCCTCACCCCTCACCCCACCCCCTCACCCCAGTGATTTGCTTTTAGTAACTGCTTGTGAAGCACCTCCCTCCCAAAAGACCGAGAGTACCGAAGGTGAAAAGGGGAACAGTCAGGCTGTAGGCCAGCCCACCCCAAACTAGAAAGTACCCAAGGACTTTCCTCTCACACTTGCTTCAACTAATCTGGCAGCTACACGCTCAGGCTACTAGCCTGTTGGAAACTTCTGCCGAAAGGATAGGAGCAGGCTCTATCTTGGAAAAGGTAAAAATAGCCAGAGGTTAGGTCATCCTGCTGGAAGCACCTGGAGATCTAAATTGAAGTTGGGCTCCTTCTTCCCCCTGCCCCACCTCTCTCTCCACAAACCTTAGACTGCCTGGAGGCCCAACCTCAAGGATTAAACCTTGTCCTCACAAGAGACTCTAATTATTCCCTAGTGGGAAAAGGCACTGCTTCATCCCTAAATAGTCCTATGCTCAAGAAACATGTAAATAAATATCTGGATGTCATCTAATATATATATAGATATAGATATAGATATAGATATAGATATATTGGTTTCTGCAAAGGCATGAGTAAAAATATATGCTCCAGCTTTCCTACTACCTTCCCCCCCCCTAATTTATTGAATAGGATTTTTTAGTATGACTGTCCCTTGGCAGATGCTGGACCAAGTTCCTACACTCAGGGGGACTGGATGAGGCTAGGGCGGTGATCAGAAAGTACAAAAGCCAAAAGAGACTTCCACTCATAGACCCAGTCTTCAGTGAACCCCTCACACAATCTCCAGTCTTAGTTGCACATTCTTACAGCCTGGAAACAAGCTCTGAAAACATCACCCATGGAGTCTCACACAGTGGTATATAACAGTCTCCCTGACCCACCAACACAGAGCCCTAAACGGAATGTTTTGACAGAGTTTGCTGTTGAGAGTGACTGATCCAATTAATTTCTTCAGAGATGGTTACCAGTTTGACTCAATTTGACCAGCAGTTTTGCTCTTAAGACAATTATCTGGACAATTCAGTTGAGCTCTCCCATCTTAGGAAGCATCTATGTATGTGGAGTACAGGCACATCATAAAGATGCTATTGCTAAAACTCTCCAGGTAAATGTTTGGTCCCTCTGCTGGTGGAATCTGCCTGACCTCACTTTCTCCAAGTCCTTGGACTTTGGAGACATACGAAGGCCAATTTTATTACTGGGGTTTTCTGTGGAACAGGATTGCCTATGATTGAGACCTATGGCCTGGGGAGAGTCAAAATCACTAACCTCCAGTCATCTTATCCATTTAAGTGGCTGGATCTGTGATGTTAAAAAAGAGGGAGATGGAGGAGGGGTACTGGTCCCCTGAGCCGTTCAAGGTGGGGTCAGTTCCAGGGCCATTAGTCCTGACTAAAGGAAGAGAGATTTAAATGGAGGAGGTAGAGGGACAGATGGTCAGGGGAGGTTGTCTTCCAGAGAGAGGTAAAAGGAGAAAAAATGAGGAGTCTGCTCCAGGGGGAATAAGGAAGATTAAAGTGTCTGTGTGTTGGGGGGGGGGAACCAAAGTGATACACTTAGGGAAAGGTGGGGGAGGTGAGTGGGATGCTTCTTGGTGATGTTAAAATGAATTGCTTGAAAAACCAACATTGTTCTGAGTCCAGGTGAAGTCTTGGCACTGATTTCCTCTTGACAAATGAACCTGAGAGGGAAAGAAAAAGCCTAATTCATCCCAGCATTCAAAGGGTTTGGTTTCAGCTGCCGGCTGGCCTAAATTGGTCAGGAGTGGGGTTATAGCAAGGAAAGGCCCTGGATGTGTGGATGCAGAGGTGTGCAGGAAAGTGTGGGGCTGAGAAAGCAAATTGCACTCTGCGATAGTCCCTGTACTTTAATGGCTGTTTTATGATTTGGGGGAGTGTATCAGTCACCTGTGTAGTGGAGTTGAGTGCTGTCTTTATAATCCAGAGTGGAGGATGGCAGCCAAAAGCTCTGCCCTTCTGACATACATAACTCCTTTGCCTCCAGTCTTGTTAGTTTCAGGGAAAGCTAAGTTGTGTGGGATCTATCTCGCTGAAAGAATGGCCCCAGTTCATTGTAATGTCCTCTTGTGGTAGGCAACATGTGTCCCAGTCTATGTCCACATAAGGACAGGTATCCTTCTAACCCAACATGAAGAAGCAGGATTCTGGAAAATTATACAAAATGTTGATAAACAATGACAGGTTATTTGATCCAAAAGAAGCAGGGCTTCTTCCACTAAGAAGGAAGGATGTTTAGTACAAAACTAACATCCCAAGACACTGATCAATTGTTTCTGTAAGGATAAGGGTGCCTTAGGTGACTACTGGACCTGGACCCCTCTCACTCTGACCTGTAGGGAATGGTCCATCCCTTCCTACCACCTCCAATCATCCCTTATTCTTCATTTTCTCTTGACTGGGCCACAAGGGCAAAACAAGTTTGGGGCTGTGGTGCTGCCAGTTTGCACACATAATTCCAGGCTGAGAAAAGGCTGTCAGTTTCGAACTAAGAAAGGTGAAGGGGAAACGGACTGCTACAGCCTTCCCTGGAGTTTGAACTGAACATCCCCCACCTCTACGGTTTTCCTGTAGCCTCTCTCTGCGGGCCTCTTCAAGGCTATGGCTGGGAGCTAGCAGTAAGAGACTCCCAGGAATGAGGCAGCAGGAAGCGAGAGCTACGGATCGGAAGAGCCCTGGGCTCGAGCTGCAATCCTTACTTACTAGAGAGACCGCGGCCGGCCAGGGGCTCCAGGCCGGATTACCGGGCGGAGGGGCCTGGGGCTAGGACTGGGAAAGAAGGCCAGGCGGCGGAGATAACCTCAATTCTCCTTCTCTGGCTGGAACAAAGGCTCCCTTTGAAACATGGGCCCATTACCATCGCTGGACCGGGAGGGCTTGGTCTCACCCACAGCTCCCTCCCAGCGCCGCTTCCCTGCCCGGAAAGTTCTTGATCTCGGGGAAATAGCGCCGAAATGCAGCCAATCTCTCTCTTCGCGGATTCCTCTCATCCGACCTCGCGAGCGGCCCCAGGCTTTAGGGTCCAGATCATTCCATGCTCCTTTTTTAAATCTTCCACAGCCTAGCTTAGTGGAGAAGTCCATTCCCCGTGCGCCGGACCGCGCTGCCTGAGAGCGCCGAGCGCAGAGCAGAGCGCAGACATGTTTCCTTTTCGTTCGTGTAGGGTTTCGGTTTTTTTTGCATTAAAACGGGGCTGAAATGAGCAACGCAGAGACCCGGTTCTCTAGAAAACGCGGCGCCGGAGGCCCGGGGACGGCTCGGCTCCCAGCCCCGAGGCCCGGCCGGACTGGAGGGCGCTCGGCCGCCCGGACGCACTTCGATCTGCCGCAGAGACGATGGGCCCAAAGCCACGGTCTCTCAGGATTTGAAAAGTCCTTCAGTGCCCACCGGATTTTTGGATTAGAAAATGCGACCGCTTGCCTCCATCTCCGCGTCAAGACGCGATTCTTGAGAGAAAAATCCAACCGTTTCTGCAACTTGACAACGTATCCGCTGGGACTGATGGTTCGGGGAGCTGCAGCAATTTCCGAGAGAGGGTTTTGCGGAGAATTTATCCGGCCTCAACTGGCTAGGAATGCCCAGAGTAGGAACCTTATCTCTTGCAAGGCGCATCCAACCCTGGGTGCCCCAGGTCCTCGAGGGCGAAGCCAGAGGTGCAAAAGGTGTTACCGAGCGCGTGGGACTCAGGATCCGAAACGGAGGGAGCCTCTCGGGTGGCCATCAAGCCGAGCCGCTGCACAGGTCTGGGGACCTGTCGCCTGGTTCTTCTCTGAGCTCCTGACCCTCACCAGTTCCCTACCCGCCGGATGCGGGCTCACAATTTGCCGAGGCTGAAACTCCGCCCGTGGGTGCAAGGTTTTGAAACCCAGGCTGAGTCTACCCGGGGTAGTTTGCTGAATTTGAATATAACCTCATTTTATCAGTAAGCATTGGTTTTAAGTAACAGGAACTCTTGCTAAAGCGGCAAACATTGTAGGGTTTTTTTTTTCTTTTATCCCCCCAGATCTGGATTGGGGCAAATCTTTGAAATCCTCAGAAAAGACAAGTCTGCCCACAAAAATTCTTATCAAGTAATTACATTCTCTGAATCTACCGTGTGAGCATCTGTTGGTCAGGTGGAACTAAGAAAACTGACAAATCTGTTCCGGGAAAGCAGCTTTCTCTGAAACAGTCAAACGACTATAGCCAGGGCTTCAAGAGATAATTTTCTTTTATTATTTAAGTAATTGTACCAGACATCTAATTTCCTGTCGTACACCCAGCTTCCCTGCAGATTAGCTCCAGGAGCTGAAGCTCCAGCCTTGCCCTTTCCGTTGTTGTACTAAAATCCGAATTACCTAACTCCCACTGATAGATGGAACCTCCCAACACTGGAGTCCCCTTTACACTAACAAAATAAAAGTGAGAACTAAAGCAATTACTTCGCAAATTAAGGCCACTCTTAGAAGGAAGGAAGGAAAGGGGAAAAAACCCAAATTCCAACAAATTCAAAGAAGAAAACGAAGTCCAACAAATGCAACTCATTTTTAAGGTGAAAGTCAGATAATTGAAGACAGTGAGGGTGTGAGTGCGCGCGTGTGTAAGGCCTGTGGGGGATCTTAATTAGCAAACCGATTGCTTGGTGCAGACAAGGGGGATAGGACTTGCTACGACCTTAAAAGCCCTCCGCCCCCTGCCCGCTGCTCTGGAGGACTGTAGTCAGTCCCCCTGCAGCCGGGTAGATTCCCGCAGGCAGCCCCCCCGGTAAAAGAAGCCAGTTCACTTACTGCAAACCTTCCTCACCCTGGGTCCCAGAAGCACGTGTGACTTGGAAAAGTCGGGCTAAGGTTAGCTGAGAAACATCCCAAGACGGTGGCGCACTCCATACTGAACATTAACTCTGAGGTTTTCCCTGCCCGCTGCCCTGCTTCGTACTGAGCCAGGACAAACTGGTGGACTTTTCCCTGTTTGGATGCGCCCGCGAGGGTGGATCTGTGGGAGTTGGTAGTGAGTGTGAGACCGAAGAATCTTCCGGGCTCAAGCCAGGGCGAGGGAAGGCAGCAGTCCCTTCGCTTTCTGGGCTGGGACTAGCTCAGTGGGGAGAGAACGGGCAGGCCGACGGAAGGCCAGAGGAGACTCCAAGGATGCGCCTGTGCTTGGCGTCCGGACCAGCCTCATTCCTGGGAAAGCCTGGAAGTTCCAACCTAACTCACCGAGAGACCAACACGACAGAGCGCAGCTGGATCTGGCGAGGCTTTCCCTGGCTTGGAATAGACCTTCGCGGACCCACAATCTTCTCGGTAACAACTTCTGAACGGCCCCCTCTCGCCCCCGAGCCTCCCTCGCGTCCTCGCGGCACTGACACCGGCCAGCCCTTTCCGCAGGCACAGCATGGGCACTCACCCTGGAAGCGGTGGCCGAAGAAGCGGTTCCGCAGCACCCAGGGGTAGAAGTGGAGAGGGTCCCGGTGCTGGGCGCCGAAGAAGGAGTGCGGGGGCTGCAACGGGGAGGCGCCCAGCTGGTGCGCTGGGTGCACGGTCAGCGCGGGGTGGTTCATGGCCTCGGGAAACACGAGCTCCGGCCCTCCGTAGAGCGAGCGACCGGCGCCCGCGGCGGCTGCGGCGGGGAAACCGCTCACGAAGGCCGCCTCGGCCGCGCTGGGGTGAGGATAGTTGAGCGCTGTGGGCCGGAGTGGTTCCTCTGAAGCGGCCGTCGCCAGGGGATGGGAGCCCGCGCCCCCGCCTCCAGTGCCCCCGCCGGTGCCACCGTCCTTGGCCACCAAGGATTCTATGGTAAAACCTCGCTTAGCCGCGGGCTGGAACATGGTCGCGGCCGCCGGAGCCGTGAGAGGCAGCGGGGCTCTGGGGAGCGCTCCGTGTCCTGGCGCTGCCGCCTTGCGGGGTGTGCACCCAGCCAGGCACATGCACATACACCCGCACCCCTCACCTCCCCCGCCCGCCTGCCTGGGCTCGGCCCCCGCCGGCGAGCCAGGAGCGGAGCGGCGAGGGGTGTGCGAGCGAGCTAGCACGGAGTCCGGCCACCGCGCACAGCCTGGAGCTTCGGCCCCTCCGGCCAAGCGGGCAGTTTCTGGCTCAGGCACTGGCGCTAACGCGGTCTGCGTGCGCCACTGTGAGCTGCCTCTACGACCGGAGGCTTGTGCCCGGTTCCCTCCCTTCCAAGTCACGCCAGGACCGACCCCCGCCCGCGATCCTCCCAGCACTGCCCCGTCAGGCCTCGGCAGCCGCGCTGCTAGGCGCGAGTTAGCGGGCACCTGCCCCGCGTTCGCCCATTGGCCGCCGCTCACCTGCCCCAAGGTGGGGGGCGGGGCGGGGCGGGGCGAGGGACGGCGGGTGGAGATGGAGCTCGCAGTTGGAAGCAAAAGCCGGACTGGAAAATGTGCGGGACCATCTAGCCTCCCCCTCTCCGCCCCACCACGGGCTTTTCCTGGCGTCTCCTCCCTTTAGCTGAGTCTGGTGGCCGCTGAGCAGTCTCAACCCACGGTGGGGTCAGAGAAGATATCGGAAGAAACTGGGACTTGGCAAACCCTTTTCTCTAGTGAAACTCAGTCGAACCCTCTTCCATTCATCCTGGGATGTCATTTCAGTTCTTAGAGAACTTGATCTGGATTTGAGCATAGGGTGGGTGTTTGGGATCCAACAAATACGCCCCCCTCCCCGAGAATAAGTTCCCTGCTCCCCTGACCTGAGGGACCTTGCCGCTCACCCATCATCCATCTCTTGAATGCTCTCTGAAGCTGTGGCCTTGTTTCTGAGGTTTCGCGTTTCCTGGATGTCTTGGGGGACAGCTCCGGAATGGGGACGCTCATTCTTTTCACAAGGAACCAGGCAGAAGCAGAGCAGGAACAAGTCGCCGGGTCCATCACCACACAGCTCTCAAGCAACAGTTCGCGATGCTCCGAAAAACAGTTCGTTTACCCAGTCACCTTATGGTGTCTGGCTCAGACAGGGACAGTGGGCCTCAGCGCAGGGAGATCTGCTTTCCTTGCCTTCTCTGGTGGTGGGCTCAAGTCTGTTTGGGGTCTCAGGGACGTTGTACCTTAAATTGGAGCTGCTGGAGCAGCTCGACCTGATCCCCAAGAGGACATGCCAGCGGTACTAGGAAGCCAGCGTTCTTGGCCTCCCGGACCTTCACCTTACACCTGTGACCACAGAGCAGTGGATGAGTCTTGCTTGGGCCTATTTCCATTTCATGCTGTAATCTGCCGGGGATGAGAGAGCGATTGGCAATGAAAACCCGTACTCCGCAAACTTTTCCACCAGGGCATTCCAGGTCGCAAGAAACACCTTGTCGAGGCCTAGAAAGGCTCACAGGGAGGCTGCCACCCGCACCTTGCCAGCCCATCGGGAGGAAGGGATCCAAGCGAGTTCCGCTTTCTCATCGCTGCCGGGGTCAATCCGAGGGGCTAGAGGGGCGCGCGAGCGCGCAGATCCGGGCCGGGTCTCCTGGAGCGGGGAGGCCAGGGGGTCTGCGCGTCACACAACTCTGCGGGGACTCCAGGCCAGGTCTTGGCAGTGGCCTGTCTGAGAGCCAGGAGCCTTGGTCCGGGAGAGCGCTCCGGGCGCCCCTGCAGCCACAAAGCGGGTTAAAGTCTATTTTCCACTCGACTGCTCCGAAAAGCTCCTGCGCGCCGACGTCGTTCTGGCCCCCTTGGGCGAGATGGAGAGGGGGTGGCTATAGGAAGAGGAGGCCAGAGGACCGCACCCTGCAGTCTTTCACGTCCTGGGCAACCCAGGGTCAGGCACCGCGGCGACGCCCCGGAAACGCCCTGGGAAGGAATTGTTACTGAACCTGAGGCGAGCGCCGCGGGTCTTAGTGGCCTCTTTGGATCTTTCTGGCTCTCGGTGATGGTCGCTCCTTCTCTCCGGTTTCTGTCTGGGGCTATCCCCTCCTCTGTTTCCGTTTCCCTGCCCCCACTACCACCTTTTTTCTTTTCCTCCTTCTTTGCCTCACCCTCAGTCTTGGAAAAGGACGAGCGCCGTCGGGAAAAGGACCCGACCAAGCCAAATCACCAAGGGCGCGAGGATGTGCGGATAAGGAGAGGAACAGAACAGGAGATTTTCGTTTTCTATGTTAGGAGATGACAGGGAATTTTGCCGGAGCAAGGGTCCCCTAGGGAAGCGGATTCAATTGGATATACATTCCCTAGGCCTGTACTCTGCGGCTATAGACCAAGGGTTGGGGTGTGCAACGGAGGAGACTGGAGCCATTGGGGCAGGTTGAACCCGCTCCCAGGGCCTTGATTCTCTAGCCCAGGGATGAATCTAATCTTACGGGTCCATTTCTCGCCTCCCACTCAAGCTGCTGAGCTCTACTAGAGTCTGGAGCCTGGTCATGCACACTGGAATACCTATGTCCTACACATCTGCAGGTTGCTTATTTTTAATTTCGTATCTATCCAAACCCACCCCCAGCTTCCTGGATTTCCCGTCTCCCCACAACCCAGTGCCTCACTTTCTGCAGAGGAGCCTGATGCCAACCAGGCTGACACAACCTGAGCCACCTGTCTTGGTTCTGGCCCCACATCAACATTTTTCCTTCCTCCTCCCATCTCTGGAATAACCAAGGCTCAAATCCTGGCTCTTCCATTTACTAGTGATGAAACCTGAAGCCAATTATCTTGCTTCAGCTTGTACATCTATAAAATGGCAAATATTATATGGGCTCTGTGATTATTAAATGAGATAGCATGTAGTGCACAGGGCCAATGCCTGACTCCAAAGAAACACCAGGTAAAAGTTATTGACACTGCCTTTGCCCATGTGGGAAACTAGGAAATGATCCTCATGTCCTCCTCCCAGCTGGAATGCTGCGGTATACATCATGGCTCCCAGCACAGCCTGGCGATTTCTCCAATAGAGCCTTCACTCTTGCAGAGGGCTTGATCTGTCAATATCCTTAGCCATATCCCTTTTAGCTTCCAACTCCCTCTTTCCTCTTCAGCCTACTTTTATCTTAATGTTTCTTCACATACAAAAATTTTCTATCCTCATGTTTCCCTTAGTCTGTTGTCTTTTCTTCTTCACCACCACACTTTCTGGATACATTTTAGACTTTCTTCAATGTTCTCAACTTCTCTTTCACTCACGCCTTTGCAACCAGACTTCTGCCCCCATCACATTAGAAAAATGGGTTGCAAAGTTTCCAAACTTACATGATGTTATTATTGCAAGAGCCACATGTACTTGTGGAGATGATGATAAGCACAACAAACTTGTTGCTGATTTTGAGATTAGATTAGTTATAATCCTGGCCTGAAGGATTTAGAGCAGTCCCTAACACATAGGAATTGATATATGTTAGCTGCTATTATCTTAATAGAGCTCTGCTCTTCAGGAGACACATTTGTTTATAAGGCATACAAAATATGGATGGCCCAAATTGAGATGTTCTATAAATGTAAATATACACCACATTTGAACACACAAGTTTATTTTTTTTTAAGACACGCCATATTTGGCACCGGACGGGCTTAATGTTTAAAATATGTAAAATATCTTTTTAATATTTTCTATATTGATTACATGTTGTAATGAATATATTGAGTTAAATAAAATATATTAAAACTTTTCTGGTTTCTTTTTAAGTTTTTTAATGTATTACTCTAACATTTACAATTACATATGTGTCTAGTGTCGTATTTATTTTTTAAAATATTTTTGTGGTTGTAGATGGACACAACACCTGTATTTTATTTATTTATTTTTATGTGATGCTGAGGATCGAACCCAGGGCTTCACACATGCTAGGGAAACACTCTACCTCTGAGCCACAACCCCAGCCCTCATGTCATATTTCTACTGGACAGAGTTGTTATAGAAAATAAAGATAATGCAAAGCGGGGATAGATAAAGGGGGATGAGAGAATGGAAAACTTCTTATTTTCAAATGCAAGTCTTTTTTTAGTCATTATTGTCCTTAGTGTCTTCAGCATTGAGTATCTTTAACTCCCTTTTCTTTTGGAAACTCTCTTCCTTTTATTTTCCTTTCTTTTGCTGCCTGTAGGAGTTGCTCCTTCAAGGACACCATTTGTTCTTCTAAGTGGGTGTCCACCAAGGTATCCTTGTCCTTAGTCCTTCCTCATTCCGTTTATTCTATCTTTCTATCTATCTATCTATCTACCCATCATCTACTCCTATAGCTTCCACCAATATTTGATGCAAATTCCTTATGAGTTTATATATTCCCCCAGACCAAATCATTAAATTTTAGATGCTTGTGAGATGTCTTCTTGGGGATCCCACAGACCCCCAAGACATTCACCATGCCCCAAAACTGAGCTCGACATCTTCCCTGCCAACTCTGTGCCTCTCTCTGGCTTCTCTCTTTTGAGAAGGAGCATGCCTTTCTGCAGGACCTAGGCTCAGCAGCTAAGAGGCATCTGCGATGTTCCCTTCTCAGTCATGCCCTTTCTTTCCATTCTACCTGCCACTGCCTTAATTTGGGCTCTCCATGATACTTTTAAAATAAGCATTTGTGATTTCTCCTCTCTACAATTTATTTTATACATGACCACCAGAGTTCTGTAATATACCTCTAAACTCTTTTTTAAAATAGTTGGAATTATCACTATAATAATAATAATAATAATAATAATAATAATAGAACAGTCAGATAATAGAGGACTTGAGAAACATTATAAAGTTAAAATAATGCATACACATATTCAGAGCACTCCACTCAAGAACAGCAGAGTAATATCTTCTCCTGTTCTTTAACAAACATTTTAATTTTCCTGTAGAAAACAATAATTCAAATTATATTAGATATGAAGTTCCCCCAATTTTCTCCCCAATCTCCCATCACTATTTTTTTAAATTTTAGCTGCAGATGGACACAATATATTTATTTATCCATTTAATTTTTAATGTAGGTTCCAACCCAGTGCCTCACAAGTGTGAGGCAAGCACTCTACCACTTAGCCACAGCTAGTGTCATTGATTTGTAAGACAGATTCCACCCTTAGGAAAGACACTTATTAGGAAAAATGCACTTCTGATTATTCTGCATCTCTATACTCTTAACATTTGTTTTCACACAACAGTGGGACCCAGGTCAGTTTCATAAATAAACCATTACTCAGTTTTTCAGCATCGATATGGAGATAATAATAACACCTACTCTGGAGAGGTGTCAAGAGAATTAGAATCAGATATACCTCTTGGCATATAATAAATTCTTAATAAGCATGGACTGGGAATGCCACTATTTCTGATAAGTTCAAACAGCTTAGTTTAGCATGTGA